CGATTGAACCCAATCTAACTCTGACATACTCCGTGCAAAAAAGTATGTCGAGTTACTTCACTTTCATCGCGACAACATACTCATCTTCAGAGCAGTGTCGGCGGACAGCGATCACGGTCCGTATGGGGCGCCGTGGTCGCGAGAGCCAATCCGGTTAGCTCAACTGGGAAGTCAATCGGCCTATGATGCATCCATGCACATCAAGGGAAAAGAGGAGGGAGGGGAGAAGGGCAGAGCAGCGCCCCGCAGGAGGGGCAGGGGGAGGGAGGAGAGTGAGATCCGCGACAGGCGCGCGGCGCACCAGCAGCTTGCTGTGGTTCGTTGCACGGCGACAACGCGGACCGGAAAATGTACAGCGATTCATCCCTTTAGCCACCCTCTCTTTTATATTTTATTCTTGTCTTGACATGACGAGTGCACGACTCTCTATCACCCCCGCCGCTCCTTCCCCTCCCCTTTCCTCCTACCCTCTCCCTGACGCTCATGTCATATTGGATAGTTCAAACGTTTCGGATACAGTACGCAGTACGCAGTCAATTTAGCATTTTGCCCATAAAATGCATCGAGAAAGTGGGAAAAAGTTAAGTGTCATTGATGGTGCTACATATTTTACTATTTTGAAAAGGTTGATGAGGATCTAAGCCGGGCTGTTGCGGGCCTGCCTGTGGTGTGCGTAGAGGTGCGTCTTTCGGAGTGTGCGGATGGGAGCGAGAGGAAGGGAAAGGGAGGGAGGGAGAGGGAGGGAGGGAGAGAGGGAGAGGGAGGGAGAGGAGGGAGAGGGAGGGAGAGGGAGCGAAGGAAGGGGACAGGGAAAAGGCCGGGCGGGCGCGCGTGACGCGCGGGGGTTCAATCAGTGCCCAGTGCCCTTATGCGGGCGCGAAGTGCCTGCCTGGTGCACACGCCCCGTGCGTGGGAAATGAACCACACACTCTCCAGGTTAGGAGAACGTCCGCTGTCTCTCTCGCGCACTCTGTATAACAACAAACAAGGGCACGTTGGCGAAATGCACCCCTCGAACATAGTTGTGGGTAATGTGCAACAGAGCTGTTAAACACGTCGACGTTTACAACAAACCAGTTGAACTCGTGCAAATTAACGACTGCGTCCAAATACTGATTCCAAGTGTTCAACCTGCAGTCAGTCGGGGCACGTCTCTCTCGCACAGCAGGATACCTGGCAGCCACCGAGCCACCTCGAGCCCTAATGTTTCTCGCAGACCTCAGGTTGTTCGTGTAAGGTTCAAATGAAAGCAGAGCCAATACTACATTCACTCCTCGAGTAACAAGCAAAACGAAAATGTTTCTTAGAAATGACCCAACATGTTACATTTTTCACTATTGCGCCCTTGTAGGATAATGCCCCCGCAATGATCCGTCCCACCCCCTCTGACGCCCGAGCAGAACAGGGACTAGGGTTGCGAAATTACCAGTAACAATCAATGTTACCGTAAATTACGGAAAAATTGGTAAATTACCGGAAATTATGGAAAAATTGGAAAAATTCAATTTCTAGTAGAAAAGTTGGCAATGTACTATTTATTGGCGATCGCAATTATTGTGTACTGCTTGAAAAGTGGCGGAATAGCCGGTATTAGTTATATCTATTGGAATATTTGTGTTTTTTCTCTTGTTTTTATAAACATCAGTGGTATATATAGAGTTACCAAAAGTACACCCGTAAAAATCGTTATCTAAAGCTGTGCCTTTTAAACTTTAGAATAATTACACATTTGCTATCAGGTCTCTAGGACGTGACTTAAAAGGTGATAATATGTCATATTTACTATTCCGAATGTGATTTTTGCTTCTGGAAAGTGAGTTTTTGACTCATTTTAAAGTGTTATCAGTACCGTTTTTTTCCACGTTACCGAGCATTTGGTAAATTACCGTAAATTACCAATTTTTCCGGTAACGTTACCGGTAACATTACCGGCCGTCGCAACCCTAACAGGGACGACCTTGCGGAGCGAGGCAGACCAGAGAAAGTGCAGCGCGCAGAGATAAAGACAAGCTGCACTCATTGGGCCCATGAAAGGGGTGGGGGAGGGAGGTGGGTGCTCCCGGCAGGAGCGTGTCAATGTCACCGCGGGGGCCCTGTCAGAGGGAGAGAGAGGGTGAGAGAGAGGGTGAGAGAGAGAGAGAGAGAGAGAGAGAGAGAGAGAGAGAGAGAGAGAGAGAGAGAGAGAGAGAGCTAACGGGGGCGTTCTTTGTTTTAATGACCCAGGAGCGTCACCTAGCCCCTCCTCCCCCACCCCTCTTCCCCCCATCACAGACAAGTGATAGCCATGGTGTAAAACTTGCTCGATCTAGCAGCACAATTGAGAGTCTAATCATGTCAAGTCCGCAACTCGTGTATGTGATGGATACGAGACGGGGGGTGAGAGCTTTGCCTGATATGACTTTTGAACTTGCAGAGGCACGGATAAAAAATGTGATTATTTTGTGTTTTTTTACAGCTTATCATCTGCAGTGCTCATGTCTCTGTTCAGCCAGATGTGTCAAGTGCTTACAGTTGCAATAACTACCGAAAGAATCCAGAAATGAATTCGCGCAAGGAACTTTGAGCAGAGGTGAGGAGCAGTAATTTTAAAGTTGTTTCACGTATCAGGTGTGAACAATAACGAAATTATAGTATGTGTACCTTTGACGCGCAATCGATACGGCTATGAAACAGGTATATGGTTTAGTATTAATTGAGATCACAATCGTATGAGTAATTCAGTGGTTACATGAAAGCATGAAATTAGTACTACCAGAAATCGGCGATTGAATTTTTCTTTTATTGATATCAGTAAAACTGATAGACTAACAATAGTCAACATGAAAACATTTCAGAGGACATTCTTTTAATTTTGAACGATATTTGTTACTGAACTTTGGGCTTTTTTTATATTTTGTAGAAAACACTAACTCTTATGAGCATCTGATATTACAGGGCACAGTAACATACGAGGCGTAACAAATAACGATATAAAACCTGCCGTCAAGATTTATTTACAGAATCACAGACGCTCTCCAGCACTCACATACTTAAAATCTCAAAACCTCCACATTGCCCACGAAATTATAAAAAAAAGTATCACAACTAAGGCATTTTCAACTTAACTTACGAACAAAATAAACAGCTGCGCGAGTGGAGAGGTAAAGGAACCAAACAAAACAAAGATTTACAACATATTCAAAACAAAAATCGTATACATTTGCATAAATTTAACGACACGACAGAACATATTGCGATAAGCCAAAACCTATCGGATTAAATTTAAAATAAGTACATTTTTAAAAATTTCGATGATCTTCATTATAGGAAACTTCAGTTATATTTCGACTAGAAAAGTGATAAAAACTTTTGAAATAGGTATTAAGTAAATCGAAAAGGTCACGATCATCTAAGTGCTGATATAGTTCATAGGATATAAACATGTCATAACCGAAAAAGAAACAATGTTAATTTAAGTAGATTAATACACATGAATGCAAACTCTAGGATGGTTCTAAAAATATTTTGCAATGAAAAATAAATAAAGAAACCTTTGAACATTGAACCGCTTTGTACTATCAACCGTCTAAGTCTTCTCTAATTTTGCAACAATTTACTACCTGAAAAAGGGTTAAACAAACTAAAAATGATGAGTTCATCCAATGTCTGATAACACAAGATAAACAATCGATTTGTTTGATGCAAACATGGGATCATGATTGTTATTAATCACTTAAATTACACCCAAGCTACGTTGTGAAACTACTTGTTTCCGTTCGTTAAATTTATCAGTCGACAATCTGCGAAACAAAATAAAGGGGAAAAGATGTCCTTTGACAATAATCTTATCTTAATTTGTACATTAACTGGAACGGGACTGGTAAATTTTATAAAGAACACTAAATAAAAGATGACAAAGTCTAACATTTGGTTCTACAATAGAAAAATTTCTTGAAATGTACATTATAACACTGTCCCAGAGATCCGAAATAATGATACTTAAATTCACGTTACCAACGCCCGTTACGCTGTAATTTGAGTTCGGCCGGACCACAGCTTTGCTGTGCGAACCGGGTCCTGAAAGCCAGGTAGCTGACTTTCAAATCTCAGGACGCACGAATACAAACAAGGCGCAACAGTCGTAAGTCGTTCGATATGTTGTACTATAATCAAGTATATTGTCGTCCCACTGACCAACCAAGCCGCTGAAGGCGTACACAAAACTGTAACTAATCAAAGTACTGCAACCGCTGGGGAATGACAGGCGACAGGTCATACAACAGGCCAAATAAACATCAGTTTTACACCAAAACCCTACTGCATGTTTTTCCTGCATATGTTAATACGCGCTTTACTTAAATCACAAAAAAATCCGCCTGAAATTTGCCGGGATTTCATCTTCGGTCCCATGAATTAATACTACATATTGGAGCTTGTTGTGCTTCTGGACGTCTCATGAGAGCGAGAATCATCACCGCAAGTGAGAATGTGCGTCAAAGTGGAAACAATCCACGAATGAAAAAAATCACGTACATTATTAACTAAAATTACCACAATATGTGCCTCAGCCTGCATTCACGAACATTTCATCAACCAACCCCATCATATCATACACATCAACGCCACTACGTTCATACAAAAAAATAGAGCATCTAACTTAACAATCCAAAGACAGAGAGAAGAGAAAGTAACTTACAAGTATTGACGCCGCGTGGCACTGGTTAAAGAGCACTTATTGTCTGTCTTGGCGACCAGTCCGACGGGGCTGGGGTCGACCCTGGGGGGTGACCCCGGGGGCGCACTCGGCCTGCAGGAGCCCCGGGGGGCGCCTAGCTCCAGGCAGAGGCGCGCAGCTGGCGTCATTGGTGGTGGTACGGCGGGTACTCGGGGCTGGTGCCCGCGGCCTGCGCCCGGTACCGGTCCCGCTCCTGGGTCATCCTGGCCAAGTCCATCTCCAGGCGCCTCACCTGGCTGACGAGGGCGCGGTTGGTGTTCTCCAGCTCGTGGCGCTGGTGCATCCGCTTGGAGCGGCAGTTCTGCGCGTAGCCGCGGTTCTTCAGCGTCCTCCGCTTCTGCTTGAGGCGGACCACCTCGTCCCGCGGGTAGCCGTGCAGCTTCTTGTTGAGCTCGCGCACCGTCAGCGACATGAGCTGCTCGTCCGAGATGATGTCGTCGCCGATGGAGCCCAGGTGCTGCGAGTACGACCGGTTGCTGGGCGGCGAGATGACGGAGCCGCTGCAGCTCATGGGCCGCGGGTGCCCCATGGGCCCGGGGGACATGGCCATGTCGCGCATGTCGTCGTGCACGTGCTGCGGGTGGTGCGGCGGCGCGTGCAGGTACTCGTGGTGCATGCGCAGGATGCCCTGCTTGGACGGGCTCATGCCCGCGATGACCGAGGTGTGGCCCTGGTGGTGCAGCGCCGCGCCCTGGGGGCCCTGCGGCCCGGGCACGCCCCACGTCATGTCCTGCTGCATGGGTCCGCCCGGTCCGGGTTCTCCGTCCGGCCGGCTCGACGTCGACGTTCGGAAGTCGAGCGGCTCTTGGCGCATCGAGTTGGGCAGCCACGCCATCTCGTCCATCAGCGACGGCGGCTGCCCCGCCGGGCCCCCCGCGCCCCCCACGCGCAGCTGCTGTATGTGCGGGTGATGCTCGGGGTCAAGGGCGTAGTGCGAGGGAGGGGACTGCGAGGCGGGCAGCCCCGGCGACGTCCTCCCCGGGCTGGGCGTGGCCGGCGGCGTCGAGGTGTCCGGCGGGGCGTGCGGGGCGTACGCCGCGATGCTCGTCTTCATGGCGGACACGAGGACGCCGCCCGTGTGCTGCACCATGGCGGCGTGCGGCTGCATGGGCATGAGCCCCATGTGGTGGTACATGGGCTCCGGGTGGCTGGGCGGCGTCAGCAGCTGGTGCGGGGGCGACTGCTGCTGCTGCTGTTGTTGCTGCTGCTGCAGCTGCAGCTGCTGCATGGACACGATGGCGCCCGCCATGGAGGGCAGGCGGATGGTCGGCGGCCGGCGCCGCTGGGCGTCGTCGCCCGCGGGGCTGGCGCCCAGGTTCGGGTTCTCGCGCTTGACGGACACATCGAGGTGGTCCAGGACGAACTCCTCGACGTACGCGTCCGTCAGGGCCTCGGGCTCCATGTCGTGCGGCGACACTTCCTGGAGGGGAGTCCCGGGCTCCGGGGTGTGCTCCGTTGGCTGATTCGTCATGTTTTACGGCACTAGCACATGTCACTAGGGGTCCTCACTCAAACACGCACATAACACATACACACGCACGCACACACACACTAACACAGTCTCGCGGCAGAGCGTCGCCTGGGCGTCGCGGCGCGAATCACGACGGCACGAACCGACGCCGACGGTTGTTGGCTTAAGTATGAGTGCAGCCCACCACCCGGGCGAGCTTGCCACCCCCTAGGCGGAGCCGCCCCGGACCCACCCGCACCCCGCCCCACCTCGCCCCCGCGCCCCGCCACGCCCCGCGCTCGCGGCCGCTCGCCCGCGGGACGGTGGGTGGAGCCTGCCGCCAGGCCCCGCCTCTCGCGCCGCTGCCATTGGCCGCCCGCGCTGCTACGCCACGCCACGCCGCACCACGCGGGGCGCAACACCGCGCCACCCCGCGCCACGCCACAGGTCACGCTCCTGCGTGCCCCTCGAGTTACAATACCACGGGAATTAACCCACACCGCATTGGCGGGGGGTTTCCTCCGCACAGCAGCCCCACATACACGGCGAACCACTTGCGGCCCCAAGCGCTAAGCCACACGCTGGAAAACCATAACCAAACACTAAAGATTTGCCGAAACTATGATGCAGGCGTGCAGGCGCCTGTCCAACGCCCGCTCCCGAGCCTCTCCTACCCGGGCCAGCACGCCCGCTCCTGACAGCAGTCCGCTCCGCTCATCCAGTACCCGCTCTAGAGTCTAGACTATTCCGAACGTTTAGTACTGTACCGCTCACCGCTCCAGACTACAGGCCGCTCCTCCAGCACTCGCTCTAGAATACATACTGGTCCAGCCAGACGACAAGCCACTCCTCCAGCACCAGCTCCAGACCTCTCCTACTGATCCCGGTCCAGGCCCCTCCTCCTGCTCCCGCTCCAGGTCTTTCCCCCAGCACCCGGGTCCAAGTTCCAGGCATCACACCACTCCTCCAGCACCCGCCTCAACTCTGTTCCAGGTCGCCAGCTCCTTATTCACTTGCCCATGATTTATGGAGACAGCTCCTGAAATACGGCCTCATCAGGGAGTCAATACAGCGCGGCAGCAGCCTAATACGCGAGGTCGTTACGGGCGGGGGATGCTTTTCACGACTCGCCGACCCGGGCACTGCTGCGCGCAAAGTGAAAAGAAACTAAAAATTTGGCGACTTCTTATCTCAGAGATAAATAAAACATCCGCTCCCGTCCGTGTTTTGCCAACAGCCACTCGCGCGCGTTTTCCTGTCGCGCAGGATGCAGCCCCCCCCCCCCTCCCCCGGGTCTCCAGCCCTACTGGAAGGCAAAGGCGTTCGCAAGAAATGACGCCCGCCGGCCGCGCGGATCGCGTCCGCGGAACACCCGCTGGAACACCTCGGCCGCCTCCTCCATCAGCCCCCCGTAGCGCTCCACACCGAGCGAGAGAGACGGGCAACATGTTGCATCCGAAGTGCTGTCGCGGCTATTGCTGAGTCAAGGCGCGGTGTCCAGTTGGCCTGACACCAGAGCAACCCCCTGCTGCCCCCCCTCCCCTCCCCCTTTCTCCTTCTCTCTCTATCTCACCTTCCCTCATTCGCCGTCCCTCTCCCTCACACTCAACTTTTCCGCGAATACGCGGACCACCACGAAGCCACGTCAATATGCCATCTCCCTTCCTCTAAAAAAGTGTTTCATATTTGACCACATTACACCGCCAATTTTGACCCCCCTCTCAGTACTGCAGAACAATAGGGACTGCAGAAAGACTCCGCACTCCGCCAACGTCGTCACTTTTACTCCCCCACCTCCCCCCACCCCTTTCGCCACCTTGTCTCTGTCATTGTTTGCTCGGCCATCTCGCCCTTCTTTCTGCCTTTGCTTCTTCTCCGCAGGAAGCTCGCCGCGCCGGGCGCTCGCCGGAGGCCCGAGGAATCTGCGCCGTTAGCAGTGCAGGCCACTGCACAGCATGCACGTGGACACACTGTTGGGATCCGCTGCAGACACACACTGATAAACCAAGTATGTGCAACCCGCAAGCTGAATACTTGCACTTGTTTATTACTCTGTAGTTATTCACTATCCAGTGTTTCAACTCTATAGTTATGCACTTTTGAGTGTGCAACTCGTCTGTTGAACACTTCCCTAGATTGGTGGTTGACTGTGTGGGGCCTGCTCAACAGAGGAGTTGCACACTTACAAGTGCACATCAACCATGTTCAACACTTGCAAGTGCACACCGATCAACCGCGTCTTGATAACTGGCAAGTGCACGACTGGGGAGTTAAGACTCTTGCAAGTATTCAACTTCCAGTTTCACACTTGGGTTCATCAGTGCAGCGCAGCCAATCTAACCGTAACCTAAAGATAGGACCTCGCAATAATTTCTCTGACGGCACTATTTTGATGTCGTTATCGAGATGCAGAATTTCGTCTATTACCAGGCGCGGATTAAGGGGGGCGGGGGG